AGGACTGGCCCTAAGTCACCCAGCCGGCTTTCATGCCTAAAGGCAGGACTAGAGCTCAACGTCTCCTGCTTTCTAGCCTGAGGCCTTCACCACTAGACCAAACTGGCTCACTTGTAGGTTACAGGCCATAAACCAAGCACTGGCTCTCCATCTGAGCCAAACTCCCCAATGGGTTTGAATGGCAGCTTTTTCCAGGTTTGCATCCCTGGAGGAAAGAGTTAAGTTTCCCTCCCAGTTTGACGCAGTCCATATGGGTTTCCTCCAATGGCTGCAATGTTGGGGTGTTTTTTCAAAAAGATATATGCAAGGTGAAAATCACGTGCTGCGCTGCCAGCTATGGTTTGCCCCTCCCCTCAAACGGATGTAGCAGATGGTCGAAACCAATTGTCCACGTCCAGGCTGGCCTCCTACCAGGTCATATCCCATGGAGATCAAGCAGGCCCGGAAGTCATCGGGGTCCATCATGCCATTTCGTTTCTGCAATGAGTCAAGGGGGAAAAGTTGAGAAGCGGAGACGGCCCCCAAGACATGGCTAAAGCGATAGGCTCCCTAAACCAGTGGCGCAGGCAGCCTTCCCATGCTCCTGGCCTCAAAGTGGCAAATGATGGCTGACTGAATGCGTGTGTATGTAGCAGTTAGAAAGTCAGGGCTCCCATCTGCCTGTAGACGGACACCACAGGCTGCTTATCCCAACCTTCAGTTTGATTATAGCCATCTCGGCCCAACCAGCTGCTTTGCTACTGACCTTAAAGGAGGCCTGAATCGAAATACGGGGGTGGCTGTGAAAGTTGTGGAAGTGTAAGTAGGGGATAGCCCAGCCCGCGGGCCTCTGCTCTGCTCTTGCCTTGGGTAGAAACTGACATAAAAAACTATGGGGTCAGAGTGGAAGGTGACCTGCACTGAACAACCGGGAGACATTTTGCTAGAACTGAGTTTTCAGGTTTGGCCTGGAAACGGTGGTGACAGCACAAAAGAATAGATCAGTGTTTCTCAGCCTTGGCAACTTTAAGATGGGTGGACTTCAACTCCCAGGATTCCCCAGCCAGCCATGCTGGGTGGGG